AGAGACTCGCGCGGCGGCTGCGGCGGCGGCAGGAATGTCGCTCGACTCGAGGCGGATCAAATTTTTGTTGTGCGGCTCCGATTACTGCAGGCGCTGCGTACAGCGGGCGGTCTGCACGGCCTGCAGCGTCTACCGGATGGATAGTGTGTGTCACGTGCGGTGTGCGCGTGCGGGGAACCTGGTGTACCCCGGGTCCATGCACACCACGCCGTGCACCGTGCCCCACGTCAGCTGCGCCGCCTGCGACGTCTGCATCACGTGCAGCTCCGACTACAGCCTGTACTCCCCGCGCGCGGTGTGCATCCCGTGCAGCCTGTACCAGTGCACGGCGCGGGACTCGGAGTGCGGCGCGTGCCCCTCGCACAGCCACAGCGCGCACAATCCGCCCCACAAGCAGTGCGCGCCGCAAGCACTGTGCATGACTTGCAGTGACCACTACATGCAGTGCCTTTCGTGTTCCATGTACGCCATCCAGTACGAGCGGAACGGACCCAGCAAGCCTCACACGCAGCATCTGGCGCCGGGGCTGTACGCCTCCCGCGCGGTGTGCAGCACGTGCAGCGCGCAGCACGTCCAGTGCTTCTCGTGTACCGTATGCTTCACGTGCAGCGTTAACCACGTGCAGCGTCCTCCGACCGCGCTGTGGCAGTGCAGCGCCCACCACGTGCAGTGTGCCGCCTGCGCCGTGTGCATCACCTGCAACGTGGGCGCGCGGGTGCTGCACTGCTCCCGCACCATCAGGTAGAGCGGCCGAGGCGGCGTCGAGCCACATGCCGGGCGGCGTCCAGCGGGGGCGGAGGGGGCGCTGGATGGGCGCTGGAGAGGAGGATGAGGGCGGCAGTGACGGGAAGACGCGAGGGAGGGGGCGGGATTCGGCAACAAAGCAAACTGTGAGGCGAAGTGGCGGGAAAAGGCCACGCCCATTTCCCCGCCAGACTGAAGGACAAAGAGACCGTCGCCTAAGAAACGAGTTTTTGTTTCACAATTCTTAATGGGAAAGGAAGTGGCCGGATGAGGTGGGGAATGGCGCCCGCGATGGAAAGTTGATTAGTCAGTGTACCTGAGAATCTACCATCTCCTTTGACTCATAGCGTCGGCATGAGCGAGAAATGTGCGGCGAGATGTCCGAGGCATGACGAGGACTCCATCACTAGGAAGATAATGACATTCACTTCCATCTCTTCGCCGATTGGTCAGTTAGCTGTGACATCATCGGCCCAGCTCCTTCTGGTAGGTCGAACGCCCACTGACGTCATTCTGAGGTCATGCGCTGGTAGGTCAGACTGAGTTCGAGGACGCATCGATGACGTCACGGATTCGTATGAAGCATTTAATTCCTCGGATCCGTGACGTCATCGTTAAAAGGCCGGCCGCGACCGTTACTTGTTTCGCAAATACGAACTTCCTTTTAAAATTCCAGCGAACGAGACAAGGCGACCAAGCATTTTATTGTTGTTGTTTGGCACGCACTCTACGATTTTAAAAGGCACACTTCAAGCACGAAACAACCCGGGGTTAATAATCGTGTAAATGATATCCCTAAGGATCTGGAATTATCCCATTTGCACGATCCGGACTGGGATCAGCAGCTGGGGAGTGAAGCTGGAGCAGGTGGAGCAGAGCAGCTGTTATTTCTGATGGGAGTTTGTTAAAAGCAATGCACGCGGGTTGTGCGAGGAGGAGGAGGAGGAGGAAGAGAAGGAGAGGAAGAGGGAGAGGGAGAGGGAGAGGGAAGGGAAGGGAGGAGAAGAGGAAGAGGGTGCGGGAGAGGAACAGGAACAGGGAGAGAGTGAGGGAGAGGAAGAGGAAGGGGGAGAGGGAGAAGGAGAAGAAGGAGAGGGAGAGGGAGAGGGAGAAGCAGAGGGAGAGAGAGAGAGGCAGAGGGAGAGGGAGAGGCAGAGGCAGAGGGTGAGAGGGAGAGGGAAAGGCAGAAGAAGAGGGACAGACGGAAAGGCGGGGGAAGAGGGATAGAGGGAGAGGGAGAGAGTGAGAGAGGAGGGACGGACTGACGGACGGACGGACGGGGAGAGAGAGGGAGGGGAGAAGGAAAGAAAGAAAGAAAGAAGGAAAGAAAGAAAGAAAGAAGGGAGAGGGAGAGAAAGAGAAAGAGAAAGAGAAAGAGAAAGAGAAAGAGAAAGAGAAAGAGAGAGAGGGAGGAGGGGTGAGAGCGAGAGAGAGCGAGGGGCGCGGGGACACACCCAATAATGTTCCGTGGGTAACTTTGTCCTCTTACTCTTTGTTTTCTGTGCATGAACCTGCTCGTTGCCTCTCGCTTTATGACTTGTTTCGTTGTCTTTATTATTTTTTTTATTATTATTGTTTCGTTTATTTTATTTCTCTCTCTCTCTCTCTCTCTCTCTCTCTCTCTCTCTCTCTCTCTCTCTCTCTCTCTCTCTCTCTCTCTCTCTCTCTCTCTCACTCACTCACTCACTCATTCACTCACTCACTCACTCACTCACTCACTCACTCACTCACTCACTCACTCACTCACTCACTCACTCACTCACTCACTCTCTCTCTCTCTCTTTCTTTCTTTCTTTCTTTCTTTCTCTTTCTTTCTTTCTCTCTTTTTCACCTTTCCTTTCTTCCCTTCCGATCACCCATTCCGCATGATGCGTGCGTGCGTGCATGACATCAAGGCAGGCGGGCAGGCAGGCACAAGGAGAGAGAGAGAGAGAGGGAGAGGGAGGGAGAGGGAGGGAGGGAAGGAGGGAGGGAGGGAGGGTGGGTGGGTGGGTGGGTGTTTGGGTTCAAAGCCAGCCAGCTAGCAACATATAAACCCCTTCCTCTATCCTCTCCTCCCCCCCTCCTTTCCTCTTCTGTTTTCCTCCTATTCCTTTCCCTTTTCCTGTCTTGCCTCCTCCATTTTCCTTCTTCCCCTTCCCCATCCCCTTTCCCCATCCTCCCCTTCCTCCTCCCCTTTATTTCTGTAGCGTGCGTGTCCGGCCTGTGTGTGTGTGTGTGTGTGTGTGTGTGTGTGTGTGTGTGTGTGTGTGTGTGTGTGTGTGTGTGTGTGTGTGTGTGTGTGTGTGTGTGTACGTGTGTGTCTGGAGCAATGTAAAGGCATGTTTGGGGGTGGGGGGTAGATGAAGAGTGGGGGAGGGGGAGGGGTGGGAGATAAAGAGAGAGAGAGAGAGGGAGGGAGATAAAGAGAGAGAGAGGGAGGGGAGGGAGATAAGTAGAGAGAGAGAGGGAGGGGAGGGAGAGAAGGAGAGAGAGAGGGGAGGGAGGAGAGGGGTGGGAGGGAAAAGGAGAGAGAGAGAGAGAGGGGTGGGAGAGAGGGGAGGGAGAGAGAAGGAGAGAGAGAGGGGAGGGAGAGAGAAGGAGAGAGAGAGGGGAGGGAGAGATGAGAGGGAGAGAGAAAGAGAGAGAAAAAAAAGAAAGAGAAAGAGAGAGGAGAGAGAGGGGAGAGAGAGAAGGAAGAGACAGACAGAGGGAAGGAAAGGAAAGGAACGAATCGGCAATGTGAGGGGAATGTGAGGGGGAGGGGTGGGGGGAGGAGCAGGGGAGGGGTGGTATAAGACAAGAATGAGAAAGAGGAATAGAATGGGGCGGAAGAGGAAAACAAGAGGAATAGAATGGGGCGGAAGGAAAGGGGGGGGGAGGGTGATATAAAATAGTGTTGGCAGAGGGAGGGAGAAGGGAAAGAGAGAAGGGAGAAGGGAAGGAGAAAAAGGAGGGAGGGAGGGAAAGAAACAAGGACGAGAACTAAGGGAGAATGGAAGAGAGAGGAATGACGAAACATGAAAGTGAGGGAGAAGGACAAGATAGGTGGAAATAATAGCAGTGAAGAAGAAGAAGGAGAAGAAAGAAAGAACGAAAGAGGAAGAGGAGGAGGAGGAGAAGTAAATGTAAATAAGTAAATTCCAATAAATGCGAGGAAAGAAATAAGGAGAACGGACCGCGGATCGGAATCGCCTCCCCCCCCAAAAAAAAAAAAAAAAAAATAGCAGTAATTACGTAATAAGAAGAACGAGAAATAACAATAATCGTGATCATACGAAATGAAAAAAAAAGACCTTGAAACTTGGCTTTGTCTGCTTCCCGTTGCTGTTGCTTGTGTTGTTCTTTGTATTATTATTGTTATTATGATTATTTTATTATTATTATTATTTATTGTTATTATTATTGTTATTACCGTTATTATTATTATTATTATTATTATTATTGTTATTGTTGTTTTTGTTGTTATTAATATCATCACCATCATCATCATCATCATCATCATCATCATCATTATCTTCTTCCCTTTCCTCCCCCTCCTCTTCCCCTCACCCCCTCTACTTCCCCCACCCCCTCCTCTTCCTCTCCCAACCCCTTCCTCCCCCACCCCCCTCCTCCATCTCGTCCCCTCCCCCCTCCCCTACCCCTTCCTCCCCCTCCCCCCCTCCTCCTCCCGGACCGCAGTGTGTTCGTTACCGACTGCGGATTACGGATCTTGTGTCCGTTGGTGGAGAGGTTGCCTTTTCATTTCAAGCGGACGTCCGGATGCGTGAGCGACTCTACCGGCCGGGACTTCCGTCTGGTGGCTCATCGATCCAGATCAGCTTGGGAAGCAGGGGCAGTTTTTGCATTTCCTCGCCTCTTTTGCGGGATTTTGTTTTCTTTTTAATGTATATATATATGCATATATATATATATATGTGCACGCACACGCACGCGCGCGCGCGCGCGCGCGCACACACACACACACACACACACACACACACACACACACACACACACACACACACACACACACACACACACACACACACACACACACATATTTTCCTCCTCCTCCTCCTCCTCCTCCTCATTCTTCCCTCCCTCTTCTTCTTATCATCATCATCATCATCATCATCATCATCATCATCAATATCTTCATCATCAATATCTTCATCATCATCATCATCATCATCATCATCATCATCATCATCATCATCATCATCATCAATATCTTCATCATCATCATCATCATCATCATCATCATCATCATCATCATCATCATCATCATCATC